ATTACCGAAAAAATATCTATTTGATAATTCTCGTTGCTGGAAGAAAATTCGGCAAATGCCACTGGATCGTTTTCGGTTTCGAGACTCTCCGTCTCTAGCTCCTCCTGTTGATCTGTATTTTCCAGATAGTTTACTTGTGTGGAACGGCAAACTTTAGCGAAATGACCCGTTTGGCGCATTTGGCACAAATTTTATCTTTGGCGGGACAAGACTGTATGTGGTTTTGATTATATTGATTTCAGCATTTGTAACACTGTTTTTGACTACCTGTATTGGTATTTCTCTGTTGTCCTCTGTTGTTTTGTGATCTAAATGTGAACGGTCGTCCTCGAGATCCTCGTCCTCTTTGTGTGTTTTGATTGCTAGAGTAGTTTGCACGACCCCGCGTGTTTATGTAGTTAACCGGTTCTTGTTTTAGCGTAATTTGTTGTCCTCCGAAAAGATTGATTTTCATAGTACGACTATGTTCAATTCGTTTTTCTCTACGTATAGCATATTCAAATGCGTCTTTTGGGGTCCTGGTTTGTGCTAACAATTCTTCAGCTATTTTATCATTGTTCATGTGTGCGGTGAACATGTCTCGAACCCATTCATCCTCACGATCTTCGCAATCCGCACGTGATGCTAGTTCCACGAGGTCTGATTGAAATTGTTCTAAACTCTCTGTTTACTTTTGCTTTCGACAGATGAAATTGTACCTTTAAAAAGCGATTATTCGAGTTGTTACAAAAATAACCTCGAGAGTTGTCATTAGTTCTTGTGAGGAAACAGTGTGTAGTTCCAAATAGGATCTTTTTTGTTGTATTTGTCTTTGTCCTTCTGCTCCTAAGCATAAGAAAATATAAATGCGTACTTTTGCGTCGGCTTCCTCCCATCTGAATGAATTACAAAGTACTCCTTTCTCTCGTGCTTTTATTACGTGATTCTCCCAACTAACGCTTTTCTCTTGGTTTCTGATTTCTCTATTCTTCCTTTGTGCATCAGTTTCTCCTGTGATTTCAATCTCGTACACTGGTTCCGGAGGTTCAACTAGTGCTGGTCGCGCTCTCAAAAGTTTTCGTACTTCTATTCCATCTTTCGCAAATATGGCCGTTTCCATTATTGCTGCCCACTTAGACCACTCTAGTGGTGGTTCAACAGATGCCTTCTCCCAGAACGGGTTTATTTTGAGTGGGTTTTTTAAGAATCCTGCTGGCTGCGCCATGTCATACCTCAGTGTATGAACTTCTGATTCTAGAATCCGAATGGATCGACAAACTTATATTCTAATGCGAAATGTTTCAAGCGGTAGTGATGTTCAATAACTTAGGGTCGACTTACTGAATCCATTTGCAAGGGGGGGGGGAGAGCACTATGGGGATAGAATTGCGCTAAAAAGATCAGCGGATAGGACGATTGTGTGCTCGGCTATTGTGTGCAATGACACCTGAGTGCCTTTTATGGTGTATGTTAGACCTAGGAAGAAGAGTTAAGTGTAGAGGATGCTCATAGACTGATAACGATAGTTTCTTGACAATGATATGTCGGGTAGAAAGGGCTCCATTTAATATTGATGCCACATGATATGGACATCTCTCTCTAGATTTCTTTTGACGCTAAATTTTCGGATATTAGTGACCATTCAGAAGTAGGCTTTCATCGGAATTGCAATTCAACTGGTGAAAAGTTTATAACGCTATTTTTGTTGAATCCTATGTCTTCTATCATAGTTTTTAGTGCAATTCCATTATCTGTTAAATTTTTATCTAATGGCATTACACCCAGCTTCCTTTTAATAGTCTGAATAAATCTTTCTACTAAGCCACATTCACGATGGTAACCTACTGGGCAAAATATGTCATTAGTTCCTGTAGAATTTCGAAAAGATTTTACGGCGTTCTTTCAATTCCAGAATATTGATTTGTCCTGATTGATATCGGAATTGAGTAAATTGAAATGAAATTAAAAAAAAAAATTCAACAGTTTTTAGGCTCCGGTTGTTTCAGTTAGCATGGTTGACGAAAATTAAGAATAATGGTCGATAGCAACAAGATATAAATTTGACCTCGAGACCCATCCGATAGCGGTCCTGCATAATCGAGTTGGATTTACTGATTTGCTACTTTCAAAAATGGAAGAGGTTTCGACGAGCTAAAATTGTTTATCGGTTTTAAATTCTTACCAAACAGAGTCCTTTTTTTGCGGTCTTTGCACATACTGGCAATATCACGATTAGTCCTTGGCCATCAGATGTATTGCGCTGCGCATCTACCAATGCTTCCTGGCCAGGGTGGGATCGGTATTATCTCGTCATGATTCCTCTCTGAAGACATTTGGGTTGGCAATGCGGTCGTCTATGATAACACAGCCGTCTACTATGGCTGCCGAACTCCAAAATGACTTTTTGTATGGGTATTTTTTGGAAAATCCTTAGTGGCCTTCATTGAGGATGGCCTGTTTCATGAGTCTTCAGTTCGCTTTGTTTTTCTTTATCCGTCGGTTCGTTTTCTTTTTTATCTAAGATTTCGTGGGGACTGGATTGGGAAACGTGGGGTCTATTGTACCCCTATTGCTCCTTGAAAATCCAAACCTAGTTAACATCTCGTTCTCTTTTAGGACATCGGGAATTTGCTGATTTCATTTTCTATGCTAAAAATGATATAGCTGCGACGAGAGTTCCGAATAGTTCTCTCGGTTTGTGATTGTAGTCTACGCATGATATGTCAAACTGAAAAGAAGATTTAGGGTACAATTTTACAGTTTTGCGTTCCTGAAAAGGAGATCTGCATTATGTTTTTTTTCAATTGACGCTGGACTTCCTGTATCCTTAGTTGCATTAAAAAAATGAAATTTTTACTCTTAGGTAACATGAAGTTTAGTTTTTCCTGAAGCGGAATTAATTACGTCGAGTTTTTTCAAACAAAGTTTTCTTTGGGACTTGTATGATGTGCGTAGGAGGAGGTGAATTTTCCTACTGTGAGATGTAGATGATGATTTGGTGGGTTTTTAGGTCGGTGTTTTTTATTCTGATATTTTCAGTACTCCGAATTCAGACTCACTATCTGACGTGATAAAATTGTTTTCGTCCTCTCTGTAGAACCTGACTCATTATATACATTTTTCACAATTTTAGTTGAATTGCAACATCTCGCAAAGTGTGCCTTCTTGTTTGAAGGTTTCTATATTGCGCTTCTCGCAGGGCATGACGGTTTGTGGTTTGGGGAATAGTCTTTTCCAGAAAATAACAAGCTTTCCGGTTGTTGGATGATCTGTTCGGTTTCTCGTTAGATGAGTTCTGATTTTGTGCTCGGTAATTTTTTGTACCGAATGGTTTTTTTCGAACTGATAAGGTAGGTTCCTGTTTACCGTGATCGAAGAATTGGAATTTTGATAAGATGAGTTTTGGTTTATATTTTTTCTAAGCTGATTTCATGAGTTTGACGCTGTTGCGTAACTTGTTTCCTGTGAAAATTCGGATCTGAGGGTTTCCTTTGGAGTATTTCCGGGCGAATACAAGAATCTTTTTGGATATCATTGACTTTCATTTTTGCGATAAATATCTCTCGTATATCCCCTTTTTCAACTTCCACTGACCAACCACATATAGCAGGTTGACCTGAGAGTCTAAGGAAGAATGATTCCGGAGCTTCCAGGTCTGCCCGGTTGGTGTTGTAGAAGTGCATGCGTTCTACTATGAAGTTTTTCTCCTTTTTAAATAAGCGTTCGCATTGGGTGTAGAACTTCTTAAAATGGATAGCGATAGAATAGTGTTCAGGAAACTTTGGAGAAAAGGTTTCTTTCCTTCTGTCCCTAAAGAGAAGAATAAACGTAATTTTACTCTGTGGTCCGCTTCGTGATAGAATACATTTTGCCCTTGCTTGGGGTTTTTCTTTCCTCGCTCTGCGTTAATTCCGTTTACTTTTCCACTTTCTTCTTGGTCTCTGGCGACCCTGTTGTCCCGTTCTGTGGCGTTTTCTGACTCTGGTATTTTTTTTGGTCTGGGAGGGGCTTCATCAAAAACCACAGCTGTGTCTGCTAAGAAATCTTTGGGATTGCTGAAAAGAATTGGTCGATTCAGATTTCCCACGTAAGAGCTGGATCTGGGGATGGCATGGGCCAAAAAACAGATACCCCTAAAAAATTCAGTTCGTTCCTAGTGGGTCAAAACTGCTGGCTGGGCCATGTGAAATACCAACCTATCTATCGGTTAAACTAACTAACTTAACTAAGTATCGTAATTGCGAATTGAATTGGATAATTGAGAATTAGTTACTTGTTTAAACACAGTTTGACAAAAACTGACAACCGACAAATGCTTGACAACAGGGTTCAAAGAGTGATAAAATTCACACATTTAGTGTGGTTTGTACAGGATACCAGTCCCGGCCTTGAATGACTAAATGATACTCTAATTGAATTTACGCTTAAACACAGTAGGTTACGCTAGACATGACCGTCTACGCCGTACCACAGATATCAACTTTTTTCTATGCTTTTCAACAATGATCTGACTGCAAACCTGTAGTCAAAAAAACTACCCTATCAAACCTGAGATGAAAACTTCAATCGTTAAGAAGCGGTTGTGCCGCGAGTTTTTGATCTTTTTTATTTTTGCATGAAAAGATTATGTCTTTGAGAAAATTGTAAAAATCTCAAAAACTTTTAATCTTCTCACTTATTTTGGTAGAGAAACAATTATGGTTTTGGGCAAAGTCCAATTTTTTGAAATTACGCATTTCGTCTCGCATCAAATTAAACATCAAACACGTACCTCTAGCTTTAGCTGAGTCCTAGGTGTCCTTGATCGAGACACGAAAACTTTGGTTATAGGCCTGCCGAAAAGTTACGTGACATTAAAGAAATTTGCATGACTTTCGTAACTATTATCTGACTTTGCGTATTTTCGGCCGGTTGAAGATTCGGCTGGTTTATATACCACTTTGTTTTCCAGAGATCTAAGCTTTTCCTGTGTGCCACGAGCTATCGCGCTTAATAAAATAGCGCTATAAAAACAAACTTACCTAAAGTCGTCAGTAGTGTTTTGGTGTTTCGCACTCTGAGAAATTAACATAGACCAGGTTTGCAAGAAACTGCGTCTTTTGATGTTTTAGTAATCAATCTAAAGTCAGGAAATAAATACAAAACAAAATTAACATACAATCGCAGAGAAACGATAGAGGAATGTACTAAAAATGAGCTAACTAAGTCCAAACTAAGCAGTTGAGTTTTTTACTGCAACTACTGCAATTGAATTTTTGTTAGATATAAAGAAAAAAAATAGCTTGTAAGGATCTAACTGGCTTCAAGCTGAAGATTTGTTTTGAAGGTTATCATTGGGCAGTAATTCGTAGCCAGTAAAAGTGTTCTTGTCGTAGAAACATCTATGCGTAAACACAAAAATTTTCGGAAAAACATCAGTTAAAACAAATAAATAGATTGGTGGGCCCGGTGTTAAAATCAGCCAATTAACTTTGATAATTTGCTTGCTTACTGACGAGTGAAGGAATCAACAAAAAGCTGTTTTGGCGAAAGTTTCGAAAAATTGATGCATAGTTACAACAAAAACTCATGTTGTCCTAAATTTTTTTGCAGTGGGCTTGCATAAATAGCTCAGATGGAATTGGATAGCTATCTCACAGAGTCATTTTTGATAGAGTACACCGTATGTTTATTCGAATCTGTTTTGTGACAGATCGTATGTTTGACACATTTCAATCGGATAAGTTCCTGTAACTTCTAAGTCCAATATAAGTCCAACATTTTTTTTTAGATAATCTCAGAGTGAGCTGATTGCAAACAACCAGCAGGTTTTTAAATAATTTTGTAAAAATTAGTTATGGAATAAGATTGGATTGTAATAAATACTTCACAATCATAATTAAAAATATAAAGAGTGAAATAATAATACAACTAGAATTACGAACGTGTCACACCCATCCAGTGATTAAAAAAGCGTTTTTAATTTTAAATTTTTATTTTTGAAAATTCATTTGACGTGGCTGAGATGTGTTTTCTTCATTTCCTGTTAACATTAGGTTCTACAAGTTGCTGTAGTCTTCTGTATCGGTGTAAAGTAGTGTTTTTCCAGGTTTGATTTTTGATTCGATATGCAGTAGTTGTTCAATGTGTAATGCTTCACGTGAGGCGAGTAATCGCAGCCTTTTTAAAAGGCGACATTTCGCACCAAGCGTTAATTTGCCCCAAGTGTCGATTCGCAGCAAGCTTCAAATCGCAGCACGATTAACTGCTAAAATTGGGGATTAAAAAACGTGGCAAATAGAGCAAAATCTTTTGCGGTGTTTGTGAGGGGATTAAAAAACAACGAGCGATCAAAATTTTCTTTTAAGCGCAAATTTTGAAATAAATACCAAATTAAAATGAATTAACAGTAAAGATAAGAGTAATTCGGCGTTAGTAGTATCTAAAATACTTTTGTTTCGATTCATTCAATTTAATTTCTTCCTGCAAATCAACATCTTTATTGATAACATTATGCGTTCAAACTTTGTCATGAGCAAGCGAGGAAAACAGCAACTTGTTTACGCTGGAGAAACTTTGAAACTAAACCGCCACACTAAAATAAGAGATAAATCCAGCTAGCGATGTGTGAAGAGACCGTGTAAAGCTTGTTGCGACCGTCACAGATGAAATAATCGGCACATCTGGAGAACATGGTCACGAAAATGTTCCATGCGAGGAAGAATAAAAAAAGTGAAAAAAAGTTTTGAAAATTTTGACACGTTTTAAAACTGTGAAACTTTAGGGTTAATCGTGCTATCAAGCAGAAAGTAAAAACAACATTGGAGCCTTTGAGGATCCTTTACGCAAAAAACGCTAGGGATATTAGTCTCGAAACGTTTGTTAACACAATTAAGTACAAGTCATTCTCAAGAACTATTTTCAATGGAGTGACTCGGATGCTTTTTTCATTTCACTCAGGCCAATTGGCGCAAAATTCAAGAGATTGGATTAGCACCAGTGTATCGAGAAGATAAAAAAACACGCATGCTTCTAAAGTAATTCAATGATTTGGCTTTGATACCTGAGCTCGACTTTAAAATCGGCATGAATGCTTTGTGTTCTGAAATTTCCGACTAAAATGACGTGCACCCCTTATTTGATTGAGTCAATTACTTCGAATCAAATTGGTTGGTAACAATCTTCCGAGGACGCAGAGGGGTTGGGCAATTCACTATTTCGCTCTGAAACCAGTTCAAAAACACAAAAAAAATGGAAGGCAGAAAACCAACAATTCAGTGGAGTAATGGCATAGGGCCTTCCAAATGGGGACGGGATGTGCTCACCCCACCATTCACAAATTTATACAATTCCTGAGAAAAGAACAAAGTCTGTCGGAGAAAGTGCCACCAAGGTGGCAAAATACAAAAAAAGTCAAGCCATATTAGTTGAATTTCTTAAACATTATAGTAACAATACTAATCTCAAGCGACTTGAGGTCTTCTGATTCAATTTCGATTTTAAGTTCCTTTGTTCTTCAATTTAACTCTTCAATCTAATTTCTTTTGATCTGATCAAAGCTTTTACCGCTCCTAATTGTCACTTGCTACGGGTAGTCGCGTCCTACGAATAGTCGCTTTTTACAAATGCTACGAAAGATTGCTTGCAATGAGGTGTCGCGTTTGAAGAGTTGTCTCCATGTCAATGCTTCACGCTGCCAGATAGTGTTATGATAGGTTTATAAGAGTTTCCTTTGAAAAGTAGATCAAATAACAGTGCTCGGACGGTCTGCGTGGGAATCCGAAGTGAGGTAGAGAAACTGTTATGGTTTTTTGAGAAGACTGGGTCGTTATTGTTTCTTTCAATGGCAAGATCCTCAGTTCAATCATACTGAATCCTCAATATTGAAGTAACATTTAGTGGTTTAGTCCCAACAAAAACGTCCACACTGCCTTCAGTGGATCAATCTAGTTTCCTCTTATGACGCTTAAAATTAAATTTGGAAACAATCATACTGCTCTTTGGGTTAAATTAGGTTTTAGTATGAAGTATTAGGTGTTTTTTTTTGGTAAAAATTTGCGGGAATTTGTTATTTTTTAAGCGTCATTCACACTGAAGCTTCTTTTGGTAAAAATTGTTCTGACTGTTTTATTTATGATTGACCACGAATGGTTGGGCTGCTTGGAAGGCCAAGGGTGAGTGAGATTTTTGAGGGGTGATCGAAGAAAGGGGATTGTTCAACCTCAATTTTTTTAAAATTTTATTTTCTTTCTTTGATTTGGCTAGGACATTAAGAGTCTATTTAATTATATTTTTTATCTTTTGTGTAATGTTCGTGGGCTTCGATCTGAGGTTAATTGTTATAGATCTTGATAGTTTAAGCTGACTCCAAAAGAAAACAAGTAGCACAAAATGTTCCGAGCATAGGTTTTAAAAAACTACACGATAAAGTTTTTTTTCAAATTAGTTTTTCTGCATGTGGTGATAAAAAAAGTCTGATATAAAACTATATTTTAGGCATATTCGACATTCATAGTGATACAAGCAAATTAAAAAACAAACGTTTTTTTTTGAAAATCTTGACTAGAAGTTTTTAGGGCTTAAATTTCTCCTAATTAAGCTGTTGTAATCCTTCTCGCTGGCTTTATTCGCTCGAATTAGGACAAAAAATCAAAAATTTCAAACCTTTTTTTCTCGACACCGGGAAAACTTTTTTGAAATTTTAAAATGTCGTTCAAACCACGGCTGAAAGGGCTTTAATATGATATGTCAGTCAACGCAGTCCGATGATTAATTGTGGTAGCTGGTTTTGCGTAGAAAACAAAAAAAAAACAACGAAAACACATCCGAATACGAAGTTCCTCCGCATTTTCAATGGTCGGAACAAAATAGGTGTGATTCGACAATATTTTTTCGGTCTAAATATGAGAGCTGTCCTGCTACCCTGCTACATGTCATTATCTTGTGGGGTTAGAAATAGGCTGATGCGGTTATTTTTTGGTCATTCCTGATGAAATGTGTGAAAATGTTGAAGATAATGCATACAAAATGAAGGTATTTTCACAATTTTAGCAACTAAAAGTTTCATCCAAGCATTGGAATTTATGGACTGTTATGCAGATCGGTTTCAATCAATTTATTGGATTTCTCTTATTACAATGCGAATATTTTATTTCGATTAGAAAATGTCATGCAATTTTGCCTGCAAAATTTGAAGGCAAGTAGTTTCTTGGTTCGGAGAAGACACAGTTGGGGAATAAATTAGTAATTTTTAGGGATTCTTGACGAAGAATAGACAGTAATTGTGTTATTTTAGCTACGGTTAAATATGTAGTAATACAAAGAGTGCTCAGATGATTTCCCTATAGTGGGAATCGTGTTCAAAGGGGTGACTTGATTTTTATTTAAGTAAAATACTCAGTGGTTATGTTTGAAGCGGTAGTGATGTTCAATACCTTAGGGTCGACGGGCTGATTTATTTGCATGGGGGGGAAGAGCACCTTGGGGGATATAATTGCGCTAAAAAGATCAGCGGATAGGACGATTGTGTGCTCGGCTATTGTGTGCAATGACACCTGAGTGCCTTTTATGGTGTATGTTAGGCCTAGGAAGAAGAGTTAAGTGTAGAGGATGCTCATAGACTGATAACGATAGTTTCTTGACAATAATATGTCGGGTAGAAAGGGCTCCATTTAATATTGATGCCACATGATATGGACATCTCTCTCTAGATTTCTTTTGACGCTAAATTTTCGGATATTAGTGACCATTCAGAAGTAGGCTTTCATCGGAATTGCAATTCAACTGGTGAAAAGTTTATAACGCTATTTTTGTTGAATCCTATGTCTTCTATCATAGTTTTTAGTGCAATTCCATTATCTGTTAAATTTTTATCTAATGGCATTACACCCAGCTTCCTTTTAATAGTCTGAATAGTTCTTTCTACTAAGCCACATTCACGATGGTCACCTACTGGGAAAAATATGCAATTAGTTCCTGATATCGGAATTGAGTATATTGAAATTAGATTTTTTTAAAAAATTTCAACATTTTTAGGCTCCGGTTGTTTTAGTTAGCATGGTTGAC